TCTGGTGTATGATGATTCTACGAATGTGGGGGCTACGAAAGGTATACATAGCGTTGGGTCCGAGTTGGCCGAAGTAGGATCGAGGCGGTACATTGGGCCTTATTAGGCGACACACCGTGTGTATGCCGACACTGGCAATCTTCTCTTATTGTAACGACTGATGTAAGGAAAAACGGGTCTTCTAAAAAGGGCACAATGAGAGGGATTCCAAATAGGCATATGTGCCCACTCCGTAGGTCGCTGCACAGATCCCTCTACTCGGATTGACAGCTTGTTGCTTTCGATGAAACGTTCTAACGCGCGATTTGGTGTTGCTTTCGTGAATGCGTCCGCGGGGTTGTCCTCTCCGTTGATCCAGCGGATCTCAGTGATCTCGCGACGCTCGTATGACTGCCGAAGCGCCATGATGTCGATCATCAGTCGCTTCTCAGCAGTTGTTCCGAGTTTGACGAGGCATTCATACAAGGAGTATGAATCCGTACACACAATAAGTGGGATCGGTGGTAGACCTAGGCGTCCTGTAATTATCTTGAGGGTTGTTAGGATAGCGATAGCGATGTCGACACCGCTAACCATGCCGTACGTTTCTGAGGCAAGAACGCTCCGGGTAACGCGTTTGCATTTGGTCGAACTCCAATGGATTACGTTACCACGAATATCAAACGTGCTGTCTTGTCGACTCGACTCATTCGCAAGGATAAGTAGGTACCCTAGCTGTGAGCTAAGGTCTTGGTTGTTCGCGAAGGATCCGTCTGTGAACACTACCAGCTTTGCTGTAGCGAGGTCGAGAGGGACGTATCGCAGGCCTCGTTGTATGCTCTCAGATTGCCACTGCAGCCGGCGGTTAAGCTTCACGTATTCTGTGTCCTTAGGTTGTTGTATTTGCGCAGCCGCGGAAAGATCGAACGATGCTTCAGGTTGGCATATCGACGCAATGTACGCGCCACGCGCGCGCTGCTCCATGTACTTCTGTGCTCGGTTTGCTGCCTTCGGATCAATGATTTCGATCTTGGCACCTTGTCCCTTCTGCGTAAGTAGAATCGTGTCTCCGCGCAACGTTAGAGTACATCCGTTGAACTCGAGTGATACTTCTTTGGACAGTCTCTCCTTGGGCTTAGCTCGAAAATTGGCTTTCTGGAGCGCAGCGTCTTCTGCACCAGAGAATGCAGGCGCTAGGGCTAGAATCAGGCGCTGGCTGGCTCGTTGGATGGTTGGCGACTGCGTCAGGATCTCGTGTTTGCCCTCGTCATTGTAACCTTGAACAACGAGGCGTGATTTCTCGTACGGGACCATGGTCTTGCCTTTGACTTCGCGGACCATGCGCGATTTGAAGATACGATACCCGCCGTGTAGAGTTGGATCAAACAGCTCAAAACTGAATACTCCACGGCCGACGAGGTCGTCGATCTCCTTCTGATCGGATGCTTCGAATGGAGCGCCCGGGACGTTAATCACGCCGTCATTGCGTAGCTTGACGGCCAGGGCGTAATCGTCCTCCTCCTTCTTCGACAGGTACTGCACCTTGGGCTTGTTCTTTGATCCAGGTGGGCGGCCCCGCTTGCGCGGCTGAGCCGCTTGGTTGGCTTCCGCCGGTGGTACCGGTAGTGGCGGTTCATCAGCAATCGCTTCGTCTGTGGTCGGAGATCCACCTGTGCCTTGATCTGCGCCGTCTATCGCTGTAGTCAGATCGCGATAGTACGGTTTTACGACAGTGGATCGGAACGTCGTTGGGCCGTTGATCATGTCTACAGTAACATCGTGGTCCTTCATATCGATGACTCTATACGGCCCTTGCCATCCATTCTTCTCGCGCCATACCATCACCTCACTCTGAAGAGGCAGTGATAGTACCCCGTCTGTGGTAGGCCCATTCCTGGTACCAAGTGCGTTGCTCACTGCATGTTCCGCTGCAGCCTTCCGCAGCGCCCTCATCGCTTTCTGGATTGCCTCTGCGCGATGGGTTATCGAGGGAGATGGTGGTGAATCCATGGATATCCGGGGGTATGCACCGAAGACGAGCAGCGTGGGTACGAGCCCGTCTGGGCCTGCGGTGTCGTTGACGGCCTTGACTGCCATCTGCAACACTGCGGCGTCGCTGGTGCCAGTGTCAAGCTCTGTCCTCAGGATCTCGTACGCGCGTCTGAGCGGTGCGTGGTATCTTTCTACCTTGCCGATAGACCAATGGGCCTCGGTTGGCACTTGTTTACATGTGATTCCCATGATCTTCGCCTCTGATCTGAATTCGACTGACGCGAAGTTAGTGCCAGCGTCGTGGGTGACGATATCTGGCGGCCCTTGATATGTATCAATCCAGAGCAGGCGGAGTGCTTCCCAGGTGTCTTTCGCGCTCATAGACGGTAGAAATCGCGCGCCGTTGAATGTTGTAGCCGAATCGATCACGTGAAGCACTGGTTTCCCACTCAGATACATCACATCTACGAGGATCTCGAAGTTGAATTCCCGATCATCTTTCAGCCTAAACTTGAATCGGCGCGGCGCTGGATCATGCGCTTGGCAGTGATGGCAGAACGTTTGGATCTCTCGGAGCAGCCGTTCATCCACGTCCTCGTGTCCTGCGCGTTTGAGCAATCGTATCAGCCGTTCGACGGCTGGATGCCTGAACCTCCGGTGTAAGCGTCGGAGCTCAGTCTCCGTAAGGAATACGCGCGCGCGCTCTGCCTTGCTTAGGTGGAACCACGGGTGTCCCCATTTGCGAATCACTGGAAAGGTAGCTTTTCCTTGTACCAGCTGGTCCGTAGTATTGTTGAAGTACACGTGGAGCCGGTCCATGTCTTTCAGACAGAGGAGAAACGGGGTGGGTGCGTTCAAGACCTCAAATTTGATCTTTCCAATCTGTGTCGATACATGTGCGGTTCCAATCGAAGTAGTGACGCTTCCTTTGCCAAATTGCACAGATGCGTTTCCAGCAGTAGACGTATCTAGAGTTACGGTGGGGTCCTCAGTTTGGAGCGCCAGGAACTGCTCCTTTCCGGCTGTCGATACATTTGAGGCACCAGTGTCAGGAAGAATGCCTTGGTACGTGATTCGCGAGTATCGATCCTCGATAAGGAACTGCGTTGCGGGCGTAATAGGCTCCTTGCACCTGTAGACGTCTTCTCCAGTCACGTGGTGCAAAAAGGCCTGATCTGTGAGGTACTTAACTGCCAATCTTTGGTCCTCATCATCTTCGTCTTGCTCCTCTAGGAAGAACTGGTCGACTTCTTCCCCCTCGTACGCGACGAGAAATGTGCTAAACTCCATTTGCTCTCCCGTAATCGCGCAGTGTGTGATGTACTGCGCTTTTGAGCGTTTTCTTTCTTCAAGCGTATGGTTTGTGGACCAACAGCCTGTCTTGCTGCAGACGTAACATTTCTTGTCGATTTGTGTGTTGACTCCAGAGCGGTGCTGAAGCCCACCGCGTCCGCGGGTGAATCCGCTGCGTCCACCACGAGGGTTGTAATTCCCTCGCAATCTTCCAGAGCTGTTGTTGTTGTACCGACGATCCAAGTAGTACTGGCTATCCGTATCCGCCTCAGTGAAGTTGACGGAGACGGTCATGGCGAGTGAGTTTTCGATTGACGATCGCAGATCTCCAAACAGAACCTCGCATTCTAGAGACGGCTTGTAGAGTGCCATCTCGAGCTCCTTCACGCCTCGGCATGCTGTGATTACAGTCGTTCGGAGCGCGTATTCTCCCATGTACTGCTGTCCAAGTGCTCTTTGACACAATTGGAGCTTGTCCAGCATGATGTCAAGGACCTCGTGGAGGTTCTTTTCGGGGTTCTCCCTGCGGACTTTGACAAACGATGTCGTCGTCCAGTCCGCGTAGTAATGGCCGTGGTTGACGTCTGTGTCGAAGTGGTTCTTGAGCTTTGTGTAGGCAGTCAAGAACGTATCCATCCGCTGATCGACGAAGTGGAGGTAATACTCCTCTGCGCGGCCGTCGAGAATCCGTGGAAAGACTGCATGGAACTGCCCTGGCTCGATGTCTGCGTGATAACAGATGCTGTAGAAGATTTTCAATTTATCGTCTAGGAGGTCGTACGGCTTTCCCGTATACTTTTTGTCTCGGTCCCACATTTTCACGAAGACATTGATCGTCTTAGGATCTAGTTTCTCATTGCTAAACTCGATTGGTGGAACTGCCTTGTACGGGTCTGTTTCACCAGAGGGCACAATTGGGGGAACGCTCGGTCCCTTCGGACGTTGCGGGTATGCTGGTGTATACTCGCGGAATCGGTCGAAGTTGTTGTAGGTGAGGGGAGGTTGCTGACTTTGGACGCGCTGATAGGCTGGCTGCGGTGCGGATTCAGTTGTCTCTACAGGCTGGCTTCGGATTGGTTGGTTTTGGGCTTTCTCAATCGTTTTTGCCAGCTGGTCCTGAATCTGTTGTTCTTCCTCAACGGTCTCCTGTCGTCCTTGCACACGGGCGTGGGTCTGGTCTTGATCGCGGGTTTGCCGACTGTCTACGTCTCGGCCTCTTGTCCTTACAGGCGTTTGGGTTCGGCTCTGGGCCTGGCTTGATAATCTCCTGTCTGTGGACTGTACTGATCCTTCACTGCGTTGTTGCCGTAGTGCCCGCTCTTGCAACATGTGCGCAGCTGATCGTGTGTCAAACACAGCCGACTGGAATACGTCCTGAGGCCATTCTAGGTACTCCTCCATGCGTAATAACCTAGCTAGAGACTCACTAGGTGCCATATTAATACGGCCAGTATACACTCCCTTAAAGCGGAGGATCCGCTTTAGTTCCTTTGTGTATATTGGCTGGGCACGTAGGAACATTGCCTCTGTCCATCCTTCAAAGTCCTGACGGAACTCCCAAAAGAGTTCTTCATCTGCTGTTGGTCGATCTGTATAGTCCGCAATCGCACGCGCAATGTACGTTGTTGCTGTAGTAATCCCTACCTCATCGTCTGGAGCTTCAACGTTGTCCTCCCAAATCTCTGGATCGATGTGATGCCATTCTCTTGGTTTTATGTTTGTGGTCCCTAGTAGCGCCTCTAGTGTGGGTACCACTCTTCTACTACTGCTCGCCATTCCTACTGCCGGTGTCCTGGCTACCGGTGCTCTTTCCGATGATGTTCTCTCTCCTGCTATTGTGTTCTTGTTGACGCTTGTTGCGCTAGCTGCGTTCGCTAGAGATGCGTCGGTGGTCGTGGGTTGTACACGGGTCAAATCTCAACCGGTCGGTTGGCGCGTGTATAGACGGCGTCTTGGAACGCTTCTGATACGGCTGTAACGGTCGGTCGCTAGCCACGAACGACGCCTGATATAGCTAACAGTGAGCTTAGCATAGATAACTCCGCCTTGCTGATATAGGCAATCTAGGGAACGCGCGGGGTAAAGAATCTATCTCTTCTTAACCTAACTGTCTGTGACTGCCGTGCAATCACTGATCAGTGTTGGAAGGCCTTGTACGATCGTACGGTGAATAACAGTAGCTAAGGTAATCTTGTGTATTGGTATTCTGGTGTATGATGATTCTACGAATGTGGGGGCTACGAAGGTATACATAGCGTTGGGTCCGAGTTGGGCCGAAGTAGGATCGAGGCGGTACATTAGGCCTTATTAGGCGACACACCGTGTGTATGCCGACAGGGTCTGAGTTGATAGAAGAGAGAAGGAGAAGGGGAACTTGGTAAGGATTTATATGAAAGATAAGCGAGTCAGAGATCCATAAGTCGATAATAGGTATCATTTCGAACGCGCACATAGAGAATGCGGTGATTAAAGTTTTCTTGCGGATGTTGTCGTGACGGAAAATTTAAGAAGACATAAAGTTTTAAGAGTAGAAGGTCAGGGAGATGCTGGAAAACACATCGTTTATAATTCCATGACTTTTTAGAACCACGGAATATTTTTCATTGTAAGGAATAGAAGAAGAGAAGGAGCAGAAACAGAGGGCCTTTATATACAGAAGATGTGTAACAAGGCTTCCCAGCTTTCCCATTGTAGCTTGAAATGTTGCATTTAAATAGTCAGCCGATGCGCAGAAGCCTTTCAACATATGAGAATTAGGTATTGATTTTGATTCTTGTCGGGGAAAGCAGGAAGATGGACACAAATAATAGACGAGTTCGATTTTCTAAACGCAAAATGATCTTTGGCTGCATGTACATGGTAATCAGTGGTTTTGATATGATTTTTACAGGCAGGGAAATGGACACATCATATTGTTTGTGTCCAGCCTCTTAAAAGAGAGAATTTACAAATGTGGTTTTCCGGGTTTTCAATTACAGGAACAGCTTTTCGAAATATTTAGGTAAAATCAGGGGTTCCGGCGATTTCCATGCCACGCTTGTATCGTTATTTTCACTCGCGCTACATTGAGGGTGCTTCGACTCAAGGACAGTCATCTGGTCTTCTTGTTTCAATCTTTGCTGCACAATAAACAGCATAGGACTTTTGAAACGGGAAATTACAGACAGCCTCTCAACACGCCATCCAAGCAGCGTGGTATTGTCTCAGACAAAGAGACATTACCGTTACCGAAGTTGATTTAAGAAATAGAACAGCAGTAGAAAGTATAGAAAGAAGCTCTGCCCTTCCAGCTGCACGGGAGGATTTATGGGGGTTTTATCGCTCACCAACCAGAGTCGCTCATTCCAAATGATGAGGTCGTTTTCGAGGTTCTCCACATGTATGCGCGGTTTTCCATCTCTGTCCAGTGTCAAATTTAGTGGACTTGAAGAGTAATGGAAAGGGTTTTAAATAGAAGTATTCAGCACTGCCAGAAAACAGACGAAATAATGTTAGGCAAAATTGTTTTGAAAATCACCCAAGACCGTATTCTGCTTGCAATTTTAATTTTCAGAAGTAATGGATGATAGAGTAGAAGGTTGGAAGGAGCGAAAGAAGGTGGTACTTATACTCCGCTGCCGAACAAAGCAGTGAGCATGATGAGTTTCCACTGTTCTTTTGGAGTAACGCACGGGCCAGCGCACTCTCTCTTTTCCATCAACATTGTCTGCAGACTTCTGAAACAGTACACTCTCAACTGGAAATTTTAAATTTGTTCGTTTTTCCCACATGAGTGGTGTGGTTCGAAGAAGCGAGCAGAACATAAATCGTTCGTAAGGAAGTTTTAGATGAGAGACGAGAAGATCACATATCAAATGTTGCGATTTGGGGATATGTATGTATGTATGTATGTAATCCATTAGCGTCCTTTATCAGTCAGAGACTATGTAGGACGGTGGCAGATGCCATTCTAGCTATTTTTATCTCTCCTTTGATGTTCGTTGGTTATGTTTGACTAATGTAGTTTAGGCATGTCCTAGCTATTACAGGGGAGGAGAGAAAGTAAAACCCTATTATAGCTGCCTGTTTTTCCTTCTCTTCAACCTATCTCTTTTTGCAACGCTTTCCTCGTGTTCCTAAGTCTGAAAAAACCTCAAAGGGAAAAAAGCCATGGGATCTTGAACGAGGCGTAGGGTTGTAACAAGCTTAGCGTAGTGTTTGTAGTCGTAGCAGTGCGTGGCTCGGGTGTACTGCGGCTATAACCTGTCGCTTAGGTTTGCAGGGGTAGGTGAAAATTTGCGAGTTGGAGTAAGCCGTTCGATATTTTTTGGTAAAGCCACAAGTGGCGGTGAGAGGAGAAGGATTCGAACCTTCGACCTCTACTACACTGCAAATTTGGAGTGCGGTAAAGGAATACCAGGCGCTTTACCACTGCGCCATCCCCCCGCGATTTGGGGATAGAAGACGGGCCGAGCACGTTGCCTGCCGCAGAAAATTTATACATAAGCGTCTGTCTTCGTAGTTTTAAGATTAACACAAGCCACTCCCATAATGGGTTGCCAGGTGTGATTTAATTGATAAAGGAAAGCCACGGAAGGGTCATGAAGATTTCAATCGTCCCTTTTGAACGATACATAGATGGAACCGAAGCCCGTTTTAGTTTTCTGGTAATAAAGAAAGATATAGATGGTAAGCAGCAAGGGATCCAGAATAGTAAGTTTATACGCAGAAGAGCTACTGCTGTCATGTGTTCTTGGTCGGCCAACTCTGGTCGGTAGGTAAGAGTGATGAAGTAAATTTTAGACGATAAGTTGCATAGTAATCAGGGAAGTAATTATATGTGCAGAGAAGCTACTGCTCAACATCCAGAACTTTTTTGTTGCTCTTGATACTTGTGCTGTGAAAAGCCTTAGAGTACATCGCAATCCAAACCACTGCTTTTTAGAACAAGACACATCTCACTATCCGAGTATGATTTTAGAAAAAGAAGTAGTAAATTAAGTCAAGCAAGTGAGAAGTGTAGGCGAGGTATTATTTAATGCACAGAGCCACCGGCGCCATTTTTGCTTCGCAAATGGCATTTTTAGAAAAAGGACACAAGAAGCCGACAAACATCACGGCTCCCAGTAGTGATTCTAAGAAAACACATAGTATGCCAAGGCTGCTAGTTTTGGAAAGTGCTGAAGAGGAGTTTATGGACAAGTCGGAGAAGGAGAGAGCCCATAAGTAAAGTTTTGTAGTGGAATATGCTGTCCCCATGTGTTGGGAATCGAACCTGCGGTAGATAAGGCAGCTGGTTGCTGCATGCACGAGCTTGGATTACACGGCTGACTAAGCCGTGTGGTCCGAGCTCTAGCTGCTGCCTTACTGCCGACCTCCCTCCACCTCCATAGAACAACAAGAACAATCACAATCATTTCAACTCGTTGCAACGAAGGTGATTCCGATACCTTAGCCGTATCAACACTGATCAGTGGTTGCTACACCACAGATCGGCTAGATATCTGACAAGGAGACCCATCAGCTCTTTTGCTGTGTAGTCTTGGCCAAGAAGCGACTCCTCCTACCTCACAGTAGCAAGGAGTGCGAAGTACAGCACCGCCCGCAGAGACTACCTATCAAGGTAGCGCTTTCGCCGACAGTCCTGAAGGAGATCTTGAACGAAAAGATCTGCGTCAACCACGCACAAAAACAACTGACAACGCCTGCAACTAACAGCAAACAATCGACTGACTTCAGCACCATGGCACCATACAAGAGCGTCAAGTACCGATCGTGGTACTCCGAGATGCACAAGAGTGAGTATGTCAACGCGGAACTCGACCCGACCGACACAGTCATAAACACCGACAAACTGAACACTGTCGTCCTCGATTGGGTCGTCCAAGTTGAAGACGATGGACAGTTCGACCTCTTCATCCTCCAGGAGTTCCAAAAGTCCTTCGAGGATTGGACTCAAGATATCATAAGTGCGGTCGACGTGCGGCTCCGGAAAGCAGTCAAGGAATTGCTCCGACACCGAGGGATTTACATCCAGATCAACAGTCGTGACACAGTAATAACGCAACTGTACAACCTCCTCCATCTCTCGTCGTGCCCGATATGGCCTGACGACGAGCTTGGGCTTATGCGACTCGTCGACGGTTTCAAGTGTCGACAGCTCACAAACAGCAACTACAGTTACCCTAACCCTCCGCAGCCACCAACAGGATACCCACAAGCACAGTACTCACCGTCGCCAGCTCAACTCAACGTGACAGCACTCACAAACCTCGCGAAGCTGTACAATAACAACGATAAGTTCAGTGGTGACAAGTATGACGTGCTCAGTCACAAACTGGTCATCTTTCGAGAGCTTTGCGCCAAAGTCGGCATTCAACCTGGCCAAACTGACCGCTACAAGCTAGCCATCTCCACTATGCTTACTGGCAAAGCGTCAACTTACTACTACCAATCTATCGCTCCACTTGACCTTGGATACGAAGACATCATCGCGAAACTGGGCGCCTACTTCCACACTACCGAGAACTACCAGTTGTTCTTGAACGAATGGCGCACCATTATGCTAAAGGACGTCATCGCAAGTAATCCTGACAAGACAATTGCGCAATGCCTTGACTTGCTCATCGACAAGCTCCACAAGCTGTACCAAGCGATGGCTCAGCAGAATGGACTCAGCGAGTCAAGCCTCACCGGACAACTTGTGTCAGCATGCCAGGGTGTCGAAGCCTGCAGCGCAGTCCTGATCCGACCTGCGTCGACCTTTGAAGCAGTCGCTTCAGAGCTCCGCAACGCCGTCGGTAACTGGCAACGCTGTCACCCGCATGCTCGAACGCAGTTCAACTATGACAATGAACAGACAGACGATGACATCTTCTACACAAACCGACGATACAACCGAAACGACGAACCTCGCGACAGACCCCGAGGCTATGGCACCGGTCGCTTCAACCGCGGACCGACGCTGTCACGACCGCGATACCCTCCCCGCCGCTCGCACGATAAAAAGTGCTATGTGTGCGGCAAACAAGGATGCTGGTCAACGCGACATTCACACGAGGAGCGCAATGAGTCGCACCAACGCTTCAAGACTTATGTCCAAAACCACGATCTCGATGACGACTACGACGTGTTCCTCGCCGGATTCGAAGGCATCGAGCTTCATGACGAGGCAGAGGACGACGACGGCAACCGCGTTGATGACCTCGATGCGTACTTCCAACATGAACAATTCAACACCGCTGCTTGCGGAACCATCGACGGGCAAGCGCTCACCATCAACCTCAACGACGCCGCGGCGACCCACGCGATCACTGGGATCGACCCATACGCGTCGGAGACTGCAAAGGAGGCACCCCACATGTTCACCTTCGATCACCGATATGGTGCTCACTGTTTCCAAGGCATCATGCCCGACACCGGCGCGGCCGGAGTCTCCACTGCAGGAAAGACCCAGGTCATGGCACTGCAACGCCTCCAGCCATCGGCCACGATCAATGAGTCCACGGCAGGTCGCCACCGAATTCGATTTGGAGATAACCCAGAGTGTCTCTCACTTGGCGAGGTGAAGGTCAAAACCCCGCTCGGCGTTATACTTTTTGCGGTGATGCCGACCAACACGCCTTTCTTGCTGTGCCTTGCAGACATGGACCGCCACGGGATCTACCTCAACAATGTTGACAACGTGCTTGTACACGAGTCACGGGAGTACCCCATTGTGCGCAAATGGGGACACCCATGGCTCCTGCTCGACGACCAAGAGACCGCGACGCACTACCTCACCGAGGTAGAGCTTGCGCAACTCCATCGGCGCTTTGGTCATCCAGCTGCGGGACGACTCTACAAGGTCCTCGCGAGAGCAGGTTATGACGAAGTCGATGCGGCGACCATCGAAAAGATCAACAAGTTCTGTCACCAATGTCAGATTACTGGCAAGGCGCCAGGACGATTTCGGTTTACCCTCCGCGACGATATCAACTTCAACTATCGACTTATCGTCGACGTGATGTACATTAATCAGAGGCCAGTACTTCATGCTATTGACGAAGCAACTGCCTTCCAAGCAGCGCGCTTTCTCACCGACATGAAAGCAAGCACAACATGGGACACACTCCGCGCCATGTGATCGATATGTACGTTGGTCCGCCTGATGTCATAGCCACCGACGCTGGCAAGAACTTTGCGAGCGAGGAGTTTGTCAACAATGCAAAGACAATGGCCATCGAGGTTGACGAGGTGCCTGTCGAGGCGCATAACTCCATCGGCAAGGTGGAGCGGTACCATGCGGCCATCCGCCGTGCCTTCGAAGTCATCTCCGCCGACATAGACAGCGACACGTCATCTGAACACCTCCTCCAGATGGCTGTGAAAGCCGTCAACGACACTGCTGGTCCAGATGGCCTTGTGCCTACTCTCCTCGTCTTTGGCACCTACCCCCGCCTATCCAAGACATCGCCGCCATCACCATCCATCAGCGCGCGCGCGAAAGCGATAAAGAACGCGATGGCGGAGGTCCGCAAGATCAAAGCAAAACGCCAGGTGAACGACGCACTTGCGACACGCAACGGACCGAACGTCATTGAAACGCTTCAGCTCCCGATCCAGAGCAGCGTAAAGGTTTGGCGCGAGAACCGCGGTTGGACTGGTCCCCATACCCTCATCGCCATGAACGACGACCTAACCGCCGCGATTGTCGACGTCGACGGCAGGCAGGCGACATTTCGAGTCACATCGGTGCAGCCATACCACCGCAACAACTCCACCGTTATCCCGCGCGACGACGACGACAACGACAATTGCGGGGATGCGGACGATGACGAGTTTATCCCAGAGACAGAAGTTCCACCTCCACGAAAGCGCGGTCGCCCCAAAGGCTCCAAAAACAAGCCAAAACCAGCTCCCATCGAGACCAACGACGTCAACCTCACGCAACGCGAGGAGGACGACTTAGTGCTGTCCAGGAAGCTGCGTGCCACTGGCAAGATCACAACCCTAGGCGAACCATTCGAACTATCCACCAAGGCAGAGATTGACGCGCTGATCACTCGCGGAGTGTTCCGCTTCGAGGAGTATGACCCTCAGCGCCATGGTGGCATCCGCGTCTTTAAGTTACGGATTGTCAACGAGGTCAAAGGCAAAACTACCACTAAGCCGTACGAGAAATCGCGCCTCGTTGTTCAGGGTTATGCCGATGATGGAAAACGGATTGTGCTCACACAAAGCCCGACGATCCAGCGCGCCAGTCAGCGCATTATTATCGCGCTTGCACCCTCACTGCTTCAAATGGGCATGACGCTATGGCTTCGAGATATCACGCAGGCGTACACGCAAGCCGATGACCATCTCCAGCGCACGATCATCGCGGATCTTCCCACGCAACTCCGCAATGTCTACCCCAAAGGCACCATCATGGTGGTCGTGAAGCCGCTGTACGGCATCGCCGAGGCAGGAGCGTACTGGTGGTCAACCTACTTCAAACACCATACCACGACACTCGGGATGGAAACATCAACCTATGACCCGTGCCTCTTAATCACCAAGCCAACGGCGTTAGGCTTTGGTATTGTCGGCATGCAAACTGATGACACGCTCGGTCTGTCCGATGACGTGTTTGCCAATAAGGAGAGCAAGGAGCTGCGCTTCAGCGCCAAAGAGAAGCAGTTTCTTACTACTAACAACCCTATCGACTTTAACGGGTGCGTCGTTAGTCTCACAACAGACGGCGTGATCACACTACGCCAAAAGAAACAAGGTGAGAAACTGGAGATCGCAACTGACAAGAAGACGTACATTCAACAACGCGCACGTGGCGCTTACATCGCGACAATCTGTCAACCCGAAGCAAGCTTCGACCTCGCCGCTGCTGCGCAAGCGAGTGAGCCTACAAAAGAAGAAATATCCAAGTTAAACAAACGCATCGAATGGCAAAAGAAGAACCTCTGCCATGGGTTGACCTACGTACCTCTGGACATACGCAACCTCAAGCTGTTTACCCTAGTCGACGCGTCCTTTGCCAACAACAAGGATATGAGCTCCCAGATGGGATTCGTCATCGTACTCGGCAATGAAGTTACCTCAAGCGACACAAACTTCGGGATACGTGGCAACATCGTCCACTGGTCCTCAGTCAAATGCAAGCGGATCACCAGGAGCGTCCTCGCCTCCGAGATCTACGCGATGGCGCACGGCGTAGATATCGCAGTCGCGATCGGCGGCACCATTGATATGGTCATGGAACGACTCAACTTACCTAAGGTCCCCATCGTGGTATGCACCGACTCGCGATCGCTATACGATTGCCTTGTCAAGCTCGGCACCACCAAGGAGAAACGCCTTATGATTGACATCATGGCAATGCGCGAAGCCTACGAGCGCAGCGAACTCATGGATATCAGATGGATCGACGGTCGCGACAACCCAGCAGACTCTATGACAAAGGCAGGTTGCAACGCCGCGATAGAGAACCTCATCAACTCTAACGAGCTCAACCTCCGAGTGCAAGGGTGGGTCAACCGTGATCGCAACACCAAGCCCACGACCGAGAGCACCGAGCTCAGCAACCTTGAAGGCACCAAGTAGTCAACGGGCACGTGTGCGCGATAACGAAGGACACAAGAGGAGGACATAAGGGCATACAGGAAGGCGTATAGCGCTAGCCGAGATAGGCAACTAGCTACATTTCGGCAGCAGGATATTATTACAGATTTGGAGGATTTGGGGACGGATCTGATCTCCCGGCACAAAAAGAAAAGATAGTCAGTGTTGGGAATCGAACCTGCGGTAGATAAGGCAGCTGGTTGCTGCATGCACGAGCTTGGATTACACGGCTGACTAAGCCGTGTGGTCCGAGCTCTAGCTGCTGCCTTACTGCCGACCTCCCTCCACCTCCATAGAACAACAAGAACAATCACAATCATTTCAACTCGTTGCAACGAAGGTGATTCCGATACCTTAGCCGTATCAACACCATGGATTTTTTTCTTTATGTTCGTTGCAAACTTCCCAGTCGTTCCCCCGATAAATCACAATGCGTCCCGTTTCTTTTCTGGAACAGATCATTTTTTTTAGTGGATACTTTGGAAAAAGGGGAAATGGAAGGAACAAGAGGATGGTAAGTTAAAAAAGATGCGGAGGTTATTATATAGGGAGTGGACCCCGCGACCACACATGCTGTGGATGTACTGGCAATTTTAGATGTAAAATGGTGTAGACAAAAAGAAAAGTCACTGGATATTCTTGAAGGCTTTAACCATTTCAGAGACATGCCTCGAATATCTTGATTTTTTAGAAGAATTTAGAAGAATGCCTCAACGAAGGTTCTCCATGAGTCTCTTCATCCATCACTTTTATAATTCACAACACCTGGAAAATGGAGGAGAGAAGGAAGGGAAGGCGGGACATCATTTATATATTCTCAGGAAGAGTCCGAGAACGGACCATATGGTCGTTTGTCGTGGGACGCTAACTTATTGAGATTGTACAATACACACACAGCCACATCTAGTCAATCCATAACTTTTGGGGGATATCTCAATCAAAAACAACCTTCTTCCCCGCCATCTTGCTTCCAGAAAGATCAATCTTCAACTTCTTACTCTCCTTTGCCATCTTCGCTGCCTGCCAACTAGGATGCAATTCGCCCTTATCATCCCGCTTGACTCCCAGTCCCATTTTCCTGTCCTTCTTATCGCGCCGATCACCCAGTGGCTCTGCGTTTGTTCCACTCTGCTGCGGGCCTCTGCCTGTTGTGGGCTTTCCTTTCCTTTGGTGTTTGTCATCGGAGACTGCGCCTCGTTTGGGGTCCCAGCCAGCGTTGCGTTGTGCCTTCTCGAGATGTTTGGCTTTCTGACCAAATTTCAGTTCTGCAATCTTTTGACGGGCGCGTTGGCCGCGACGGTTCTTTCGTGGCGCAACGTCCTCGTCAAGATCAGAGGCTTCTGACTCAGAGCCAGAAAAGTAAGCGGCGTGGCTGAGGGCGGGGAGGAAGGCAGAAGAAGTGGATTTAGCTTCGTCGAGTTTGGTCTTTGACTTTTTCGTGGGTATAGAGGCTTCATCAGAGTCAGAGCCGGAGTCAGATTCGGACTCGTCCGATGGTGGCGCTATTAACCGAGATGTTTCCGTTTTACTGTCTGTCTTGTCATCGCTGCTGAAGCCCTCGAAAGATGTGCCTTCCTCGTCGTCGCCCTCACTCTCACTGTCCGCCTCGAGGTCGTCTTCCGGGTCGTGATCGTTCTCGCTATCTGCGATGCTCGGCGGTCGTTCGTCATCTGTAACGGAAGCTGCGCTGTCTTCCTCGCCAGACGAAGGCTCCGCTATCCGCGCGCTGAAAGCCATGTATGGATCATCCTCTCCGTCGCTCGCTTCCTTCATCTCGACATCCTGCTTCTCCACCGCCTTCGCAGCCTTTATATTCTTAGGTTTCTTCTCAAACTCCGTCTTGCTCTCCGCGACCGGCGCATCGCTCTTGCCTACCTCCAGTATGCCTTTCAACTCCTCGATTACGCCATCCACCACTTTCTTGACCTGGACCACCTTGAACAGCCTTGCCGTGACATTGAGCGTATTTGTATCCTTGGACCCTTCCCGTATACCAGCAATGTATTCCCGTAGCGGTTCGGCATCCTTCAAGCTTTTCACCCTCGCCAGCGTCTTGCGCAAATGTTGATCCGCCAGCTGTTCCAGATTGAGCGCCTTCAAAACGGTATACTCGGCTTCTAAGCGCTCAATGGCTTTTCGGTCGTTCTTCTTAGTCGCGTACTTCTTCCTGCGACTGTGTTTTTGACGCTCAAGCACAGAGCCATGGCGAAGCGCTTGGAAGAGAGGTTTTTGCGCATCGACGATACATTTTTCGCAATACTTTGCGCGTTTCGCTGGCGGGGGCGCGGCAATCTTTTGAGTCGGGGGAGGCGAGGAGCGCTTTCGTTTCGGCATCGTGGGCGACGTTCGTGATGTTTGCGATGGTGTTTAGGTGCTGGCGGAAATTTTGGAGATTGCCAGTTCTTATCGATAAGCTCGGCTCATCCTGCCTTTTTCAGCCGCTCACCACTTCGTTCCTTCACCTCGGCACTGACATCACTCATCAACCAAAAAGAAGTATATTGCGTCTCTGATGAAGCTCTAGGAAGATATCTAGATATATCTCTATGATATTTAATTCGATTTGCCTCTTCACTCATGCTAAGTCTCCCCTGAATGGCCATTCTAACCTAGGCCGTTGTCTTTTCGTCGGTGCAGTTACTTGAGATCACATCAACATGATCAGTTCTCATATACTCTTCCATTTCTGAATAATCACATCTACTACCCATGATTGGAAAATCATATATGCGCGGCACGGATACCATCTCGCATCTCGCATTTCCCCATCCCTTCCCCACCCACGTCAACCTCCCTATCAATCCACATTTATCCCAAATCTTCCCCCAGCACTACTTCCACACTGATATCCCTCAGCAAACCCGGAGTCATGGGTCCTATCCTTCACCGATCCCACACGACTCCCACTCACTGAGCCACTAGCACGGCTCGACACGTGGCTGCGGATACTGGGCTCGTACTCTACCTCTACCGCTACAAGCTCCGTACCCAAAGCGTGCGAGCGTTGACTCGCAGCAGAAACGTGTGAACGAGGCGGCGTAGGTATATGAAGCTGGCTAACACTGCTTCTATGAGAGGAAACATGCGACGCGAGACTTGGAGTCATCGATCTTCCTCTCGCCCTTTCTGAAGTGTAATATTCTTCTGCATGGCCTGAATATGCATTGCTTCTTGAGGCTGGAGCAGGGGCACGCGGAGGTAGCATTTGCTGTGCGCGGGGGTGGTAGGGTCCGGTGTGGTGCTGAGGTGGTGCATTGGAATGCGCATATGGTCCTCGGGAAGGTACAGCTGCGGGTTGATATCCTGCTGCCCCTCCCCGCGAGCTGGTAGTAGATGAAGTTTCAAGATTGTTCAGAGCTCCATATCCCTTTTGGCATTGCCCCCAACCCTCTGCCGGCACATCGAGCACTCCTCTTTTTCCACCACGTAGTGATACATATTCCGCTTGTTTTTTACTCTCCTTGACTACTTGCAACTTGCCGTCTCTGGGATTTCTTTCAATCTTAGCGGAACCTCTCCGCCTGCGAGCCATTTTACAAACGGCGCTGGTTGTTGTTTTAATGTTGCTTGCTTTTTTGGTGGTGGCATGGTGATGCGATTAAGAATAAGATATGTTTGATGTGTAAGGTGTCTATTTGTGGTTTCTTAAGTATAGTATATGAGTTTCTGTGGAACTGTAGTATTACTAATGTTGTTTTTATATTGGAAAAGGGGGGTGATGGTATAGTGACTGTGAAGAAGTTCATTCATGGCGCCTGGGTCAAAGAGTAAATTGATGCCATGAAAAGCTTCACTTGTATAGCAATTACAGTCATTGAGTGATCGAATCGAGTTCGCACATTACATAATAAGCAGAGATCTTGCGCTGCAGACAGCTATCAATCCTCACTGAAGCTCAGTGACGGACTCGCTACTGAAATCCTTGTAGTCTTCATACGTACAATAGAATTATCAAGTCGAGTGAGACCTGTCACCTCTCCAGCAAGCAGCATTCTCAGCGACGCCCATTTCCTCCACCAGGCTCTTCAAAAACAAACCTAGGTGCATGCATATCCTCATGTCTCCCATATCTTCCTCTACTCGCCGCTCTTCCACTCCTACCCATACCCCGTGTATCACCACCGTCACCACCACCACTGCCGCCGCTGCCGCCATCTCGATGCTCTCTCGCTCCCCCACCCCCCACATCCGCCCTACCTAAACTTTCCGCCAACCCCGGATTCCTCCGCAACCACTCCTCCTCCCTCTCCCTACACTCCTCCATATACTCCTGCCATCTCCTATCTGCCCTTTCTCTCTTTGCCATTCTTCTCTCTTCATGAGTCTGCCCTTCCTGCCTCCTCGGCAGTAGTGTGGCGTTTCGTCTATTGGGGCCGGATATGGGGGAGTAAAAGGAGTCGGGGCTGTCGGGGTCGCCGTGGAGGTAAAGGCGTGCTGGGGTTGTGGATTTGAAGAGGGAGAAGAAACCCATTGGGAAATAGGACAGTGAGTGAACCGGGGCTTGCGGAGTGGGTTGGAAATTGAGATTTGTGGTGGTTAAGTGTTGTAAAAAGGTCGATGTATTGGCTTAGTGTAGATGTTCCTTGTATAGAGTGCAGAGAAAGGGTGCTGAGTTAATGTCGATTTTTATATGGTTAGTTCTTAATAACCAATTCTTAGTAGAACGTCAGCGCCGACAACTACAGTCCACACAGTCATTTTCACTCTCTGACCTGTACAAAAAACACATCTTCATATCATACTGCTGTTGACATTTGCTCTATATCTATATACATTCCTGCAAGACGTAACAGGATATTTACATACAACAAAACATCATCTTCACAAACCCGCTGTGAAGGCCATCTAGAAAAATGAATTCATACCCTCCTTCCGCCTAAGCGCAACGTGAAGGAAGATGTAAATAATAATACCAAAACCCGTCATACCAGAGATGACGCCAAAGCCCAAGAGGTACTTGGGGCTGTCCTTGGCTGGGAAAAGGTATGCGCCGTAGATCTGTGCTAGGTTGCCCATGGCATTGACTAGAGCAATGGCAATGGCCCTGACCTCTGGTTGCATGGATCCGAATGTCGCACTAGCAAAGGAGAGAGAGACGGCGTTGGAAGACCAGAGACCGGCGGCCATGAGGACGAGGAGTGCGTATCTTGCTTTAAATTCGTAGACGACGCAGACCAGGATCGATGTTATGAGGGAGAAGCTGAGCCATGAGGCGATCACAAGACCACGGTGGTTGGAGATGGAGTCGGCAAAGTAGGTAGTAACTGCTGTGCAGACAAAAGCAACTGCGTAAATGGGAACAGTCATGTACTGCGCAGTCACTCTGTCGGTATATCCGAGGCCGTGGACAAGGGTAGGGTAGAAGTATGAGAGGGTCGAGGAGCCGACGATGACCTGGGGAGTATTAGTGGCATTTTCAAAAAATGCGTGTATGCAGCAAAACTTACCATGTAACCAAGGATGAACGAGATAGTCCTCCAGTCAAAGATTGCAAGACGGAGAGACTTCATCTTTCCCATTCTCTCCTCGCCTTCCACGTGGGTCTGGACACCGCCCTCCCGGAGGCGCGCCGTGGCAATGGCTCGTTCGCGGTCAGTCAGACGCTTGGTGTTTGCCGGGAAATCCAAAAGGATAAAGTATGAAGCCATCGCCCAGATCACTGTCGCCGCGCCCTCAATAATAAACAACCAACGCCAGCCTGCGAGTCCTGCGGTGCCATCCATACCGCCTGTAATGGCACCAGCAAGAAGACCACCAAAAGCACCACTCAGGATAGCCGCAGACATGTATACACCAAAACGCTTCGATTGTTCGTCCTTCTTGTACCAGGATGAGATGATGAGGATGATACCAGGGGCGAAACCGGCTTCGAATACACCGACGAGGATCCGCAGTCCAAGGAGGTGCTTAAAGTCGTTGATGGCAGCCATGCAGCAAGTCAAACCACCCCAGATGCTCATTATGATTGGCAAGTAGACGGAGGGCTTGAGACGGACGAGGAGCATGTTCGATGGCGGCTCGAATACGACGTATGTGACGAAGAAAACTACCAGGGCGGTCGAGTATTGTTGCGAAGTGAGCTTGAGGTCATCGCCCATTCCAGCGATTTTCGCGTTTCCGATACTGCAAAAGTTAGTTTTTGGTTTCACGAATCTGGCAGCTCGCTTACTTGGTGCGGTCCATGTACGATAGCAGGTACATGAGCCATATCGTCGGTAGCAGAAAAAGATCAATCTTGCGAACGAGCTTCTGCTCCTCTTCCGGTGTCCAAGTGATATCACTGGAGACCTCAACGTGCTTTGCGGAGTCCATCTCCTTGATGTCTGCCGAGTGGCGTATCGACGTCATTGTTTCCGAGACGTGTGTGGTGCCAGGGTGCAAAACGAAGTTTTTGATGCGAAAGATCAAGATGGGGAGACTAATGCGTATCTTGTGCAATGTCGCAACACCACCCACAACGATGAACCTAGAAAAGTGCGATAACCAGAAGCTTTATAGATCATGGCCTGTCCAGCAGGCCGTTATAGCCTAGGGTCTGCTAGTGTTGCCCGTTCGCAACAAGACGACCTGAACTGCCCCAGATTATTTCGGCCCTTCTTCGTCTACCCCAGGTCTAAGCCTGTCAACCGAAGTTGCCGCATGCGGCCCAGAGATGCGGGTTAGGCCCCGGTCATGATTGGCCTAGAATACGGCGGGAATCGTACCAAGCATACAGCCAGTTCTCGTCCGACCCGTGTGCCTCGAGGCGAAAATGTGCCACTAAGCGAAGGCGTTTTGCGCTCGCGTCGAGCTGGCATCGCACATGGCTCTCAACGGTGCCACCCCTGTACGATACGCATGGTTCTCACGGGTTCTCGCGGCGTTGGAGAAGCTCGGGACCGAGGAGAAACCACAATTGTTGCCACCAGGTGTTGTGGGGTAGAGGAATGTCTTGTACTTAAACATGCGGGGATCCAGACGTGTGATGTTCGTTCACCAATCTATCTGTCGGATCCCCCATTCTTCGCGCGACCTGCCAATTCTCGTCAAAGTTGCTCAATCTACACACCTACCTGCCAGCCATGTCTCCCTCCGCAGTCCTACCACAAGCGGACCCGACGGTGCCTGCAGCTGCCAGCGCCAATGATGCTCAAGTCGAGCAAAGCGTTCCTAATCCCGTATATCTTACTACGGAGCCGAAGGAGGACTTTGACTGGAAGATTACCCTGAAGGGCAAGGTAGTCGCTATTACCGGTGCCAACAGAGGTAGGTCGGATGCATGTCCTGATTTGCGACAATTACTGATTTTGTAGGCATTGGACTCGGTCTCGCGACGGTATGCCTTGCGAACGACGTCGCTGAAGTTTATTCTTTGGACCTTTTCGTGCCCGGCGACGAGTTTGAGGCGCTTCAAAAGGCAAACCCCAAGCGGGTCCACTACATACACTGCGATGTGACGTCTGAAGAGAGCGTCACGGAAGCAATAGACAAAATTGTCGCGCAGTCGGGCCGTATTGACGGTATGATTGCCAATGCGGGCATGACCAAGCACCAGCCCGCGCTCGACTTTGACCGCCCCCAGCTCGAACAGCTGTTTAATCTCAACGTCTTTGGCGCATACTTTTGCGCAACCGCAGCCGCAAAGAAGTTTATCGAGTTGGGCATCAAGGGCTCAATCGTTTTCACCGCCTCGATGACTTCGTACAGGCCGAACAGAGCTGCACCGTCTGCGCCGTATGGAGGAACAAAGGGTGCTGTCCGCAACATGGCACACACGCTGGCGATGGAGTGGGCAAAGCACGGAATCCGCGTCAACTCCATCTCTCCAGGCTTTGTGCGCACACAAATGACATACTACGTCGAGAGGGCAGCGGACTGGAACTTGAAGATGCAGTACTATGGCGGCATGCCTAGATTGGCCGACCCTCGCGAACTTGGCGGAGCCTACGTGTATTTGCTGTCGGATGCCGCCAGCTACACCACGGGTATCGATATCCCAGTCGCAGGTATTGTCGGTGCCTGGTAGAGGTTCCTTGTCTTCTTGTTCATATTTTTTACGCCGTATGACATGCATTGGGTGGCGTTGGAAAAGGTCTGATGGCCATGATAATTTAGAAACACAAATCAAAGTCAAACAAAGTCAAACTCTGTTTCCGGTGCCTAAACACGTTGGGTTGCTGAAATCGCCGCAAGCCGGGTGCGGGAGTGGGATGTGAAGGTGAAGCGACCCGTGGACGGGCGTCAACGCAGAGCATGCGCGAGCCGACAGCCGCGGCCGCCTGACTAAGCTGAGTGGTATGCGGATGCACCCATTGGACGCTTTGGCGATGAACATAAATTCGAGAAGCTTCACACGTCCTGAGTTTGACCGTCATGACGATGCACAGGGCCTACTCTAAGTATATGAGGCCTCCAACTTAAAACGGTGGTGGACAGTGCATTCTCAAGCTGGCGCGGGGTCTCCAGAGGCACCATCCGACGCGCGCGCTCTTTACTGCAAGCCTGACCTATCTATCACCCCCATAATTCCGTCTCTGCGCGATCCCGCAAGATACCCACTGCGCAGACGCCGTTTTCGTCTCGGACCTGTTGAGGGCCTGAATTGCCGTTCCTGTTCCTGTTCCCCACACCGATCGACCCAATCCCAACCCCGAAGCCTTGAGACGTTCCAAAGCAAGCCAAGTTGCACCAGCATGCGCAACATCATCCGTGATGCCCGAATCGTCCACAGGCCCTCCTAAGCCTAGAAAACCCCGGCCTTCTCGAGCGCGAGTAAGTCCATGCGCGCCCATCTCGTATCAGATTATAGACTGACTCAGCTCCTTCTCTCTCACAGGGCTTGCGCACAACTACTGGTTGGTATGTTCTTTTGGCCCATCTTTGATGCGCATCATCACTCGGTGCTGCCAGCTGCTGTCACGTGACACACTTTGCCCTCATCGACATTGAAAGTCTGTTCCCACATCAGCTGACCCTGACAGCCTCACCTGTAGACGAAGAAGAGTCAAATGTGACGAGCAACGGCCTCGTTGTGCAACATGCACCAAATCCGACAGGGAGTGCCTGTATTCTTCACCAAACGACACTCCGGGTGCAAACAGCACTGCATCCGGCTCAGTACAGTCTGCGACGTCGCCGGCACATGATGATGCGTCGGTGGCTACCACATCGCCAAACCCGGCCAGGCGCCTCATCCCAAGTGACATGGATCCTATGCTCTTCAAAAATTCACCCGAACTTTTGTTCGACTCGCCCTCTACTATCCTCAACTCTTTGCCATCTCCCAATTCTGCACCCTTGGCCTACTACGACCTGCTTGCGGAAGATGCCATCAACAACATTGACAAATACAATCTCAATGTCGACCTTGATAGGGACCCCTTCTCGCGCCGCTCAAGCCCCATGCCAGGGGCAACACCAGAGTCATCAAATATTGACCCACAGCTTTACACACCTGAGCATCTAGGAGGACCCGAGTCTGTAGTGCATGAGGAATGGAACACTACCGAGGTTATACCTCTGTCAGATAATGAGCTTGTGCTATTAAAACACTACGTCAGCGTAATCGGGCCCATACTGGATTTGATGGATCCCTCGAGGCAGTTTACTGTAACGGTTCCTCCCCTAGCCGTTCACAACGTGGGCCTTTTGAAGTCTCTGCTGGCTGTGTCGGCACGACACATGGCACTCTTGAGCGAGCCACAACTGCACCGACTCAATCTGGATGACTCTACGTCAGACAATGACAATAGCTCTGCATACCTCCGCAGTCCCCTGATACAAGCTGCAACACAATACTACTACGAGACCCTCCATTACCTCTCAAAGAATCTCTTCTACCCATCATATTCGAAATCAAGAGAGATTATAGCAACATCCATTCTTATAAGCACGTACGAGATGTGGGACGCAGAAGGCCAGTACAGCAATGGGGCATGGGAAAGACATCTCCGTGGTATATTTTGGATACAAAGAAGTCAAAACAACAATGGAGAGTGCAGAGATCCACTCAGAAGAGCCGCTTGGTGGCAATGGTTGCGCCAAGATAGTTGGGTTGCTTTACGTGAAGGGCGAAGGGTACTTACCATATGGAGACCTACCAAGCGGCTGATGGACCTAAGCGCAGACGAACTTGCCTTGCGCATACAGTATATTTGTGGGCGCTGTGTAGACTTTGCCGCTAATGAGAAAAAGTATGATATGAGCACGCGCATCGACCAAGGCGCGAAGCTACTGCAAGCACTCGAAGATTGGTACAGGGTGCTTCCGCGCGCATTCCATCCCATTCATCGGGGAACACCTGAGCCAGGCGCGTTATTCGCACCAATCTGGATACATCCTCCGGCGTATGCAGCCGCAATTCAAGCATTCCATGTTGCTCGAATCATTGTTCTTGTCAACCAGCCTTCAATGGGAGGCATAGACGAGTTCCGGATTCGACAGCGATTCCTGGATGAGAGTGTTGAGACAATCTGTGGTATCGCGATGCTGGATCATCAAGGAAAAGATCTTCCGAGCGCGATGATCAACTGCCAGGCCCTATATGCTGGTAAGTTTCTTGGTCTGATTCTCATGTGACTCTATACTTACGGATCTCAGCTGGTCTATGCGTTCAGAACCCCGTCAAGCAGACAGCCATCCTCCGTCTCTTGGATCAGATACTTGACATTACCAAGTTTCCACCAAAGACATTACTCGACGATCTGGCCAACTACTGGCGGGCTGAGTCATGACAGACAATGGGACTCCACACTTGATCGCAAGCATGCATGCGTCCCGCATTCTACTACGTCATGAGCCACCATTGTGGTCCACGAGACCGTGACCCACGTGAAGCGCACCTTTGAGTGCTTAAACGAATAAGCTTTACCAAGACGCGGAGGGTATTCTGTTCAGCCAGGACAGGCTTTTTAGAGCCAGCAACCGGAGGATTATGCGGCATAAGCGCGGGGCCTCGTCGAAATTTATCATATTCCCATTTATGCTTATCGTCTTTCTCCAAACCACGATTTTGGGGAAATCATGGGGAAGACTTCGCATGAGCTCTCAACAATGGGGTAAAAGCGGGGTGCATACCATAAGTGCTGATCAACTCAAGCGCAAGACAGCTGGTGTTTTCGCAAAAACGGTGTTAGTGCTGATCTTGGTGGGTCTCACTTGCACAGAGAACCTGGATACCAAACTCTGTATATGTGCCTCGTTGCGAGGCACACGAGCCAAGACTGAGGTTCCGACTAAGCATTCAGCGGGCTCGCCGAAGCATCTCTCACGCCTCCCGCGCACGCGGAGAGGGAACCAAGCTGCTCGACACGGGCGCCAATGAGCGGATGGTTTCCCCGCGGCTTTCTTCAAGGAGAAGAGCTCGGAACTGCGCAGGCCTGGTTCCGGAACGGTTCCGAAGAAGTCGACAAACTACTAACAAACCGAATATACTCACGTTCTGAGCTCCTAACATCTTCTTCATCTTGAACTTACAGCACGATCAATCATCATGACAGCAAAAAAGAGCAACCGTACTTTGGCGATACTCGATGCCGCTACAGCAGGGAACTATGGCGTAATGGCCGCGATTGCGTACGAGACACCCATCAACATCATCTACAGACCTAACATGCCTCAGCTACAATGTCGAGCAACTGACAGCCCTCATCCGCGCCGCTGAAGCTAAACGCTCGCCTCTTATCATTCAACTCTTCCCCTCAACACTCAAGCAACTACCCCTCCTTGCACACGCCGCGGCCCATGCCGTTAAGACAGCGACAGTACCACTCTCACTGCACATTGACCACGCACAAAATGTGGAACACATTCGGGAAATCATCGCGACTCTCCCAGTGGATTCGGTCATGGTGGATATGTCGCATTATGATGAAGCCGAGAATCTGGAGAAGACGAAGATATTGACAAAAGAGTGCCATGATCGTGGCATTGCTGTAGAAGCTGAGAGTGGAAGGATTGAGGGAGGTGAAGATGGAATTGCGGATACTGGAGACTTAGAAGGTATGTTGCTATGTGTCGGAAGCACACAATCAGCTAACACGATACAGCGCTTTTCACATCACCCGAAGACGTTGACAACTTTGTCAACGCCGGAGTTGATATCCTTGCTCCTTCGATCGGCAACGTTCATGGCGAGTATGGCCCAGCGGGACCTAAGGAAGGTCAGCTACATTATGACCGCCTCGAGGCGATCGACAAGCAGATCAACAAGCGCGTAATCATTGCATTGCACGGAACCAACGACTTTCCCCCTGAGGTCATGCAGCGATGCATTCGCTCCGGTGCGGTGAAGTTGAACGTCAACAAGTTGTTGCTAGAAGTGGGCAATGAGGTTCTGAGGAAGCAAGCGCCAACCACCCCACTGGCCAAGTTGATTGATCTACAAATGGACGTCATACAAAAGGAGACAGAGCGATGGATGGATATCTGCGGAAGCAGCGGCAAAGCATGATAGTGATAGCATAGTTCAAAAGTTAGACCAACGCAATAGCAATCATTCAGTAACATTACAAATTCCATTGGCGAGCGTGACGAGCCAGACGAAAAGTATCACAAGCAACACCAAACTGCCGATACCCGAATCCCGAGATCCAACTCCCATCCCCTCCCCTGCATCCCCACTCCCGCACCTCCCACCCCCAAGTCCCAATACACACCCCCGTCTCGAACCGACGCGCGCTTCTCCGCCGTTAACACTAACCCAGATAAGGTACCCCGCTTACACACATGCATCCGCCCTCTCAGCCGCATGCCAATCCCGACAAAAACCCGATCTTCTAGAAATCCAGTATCCGTATTTGACCTTGTCGCCCTCGCTTCCGGCTGCACAAGATAGGCATACCTAGGCAGCGGTGCTGGAAACCCATGTTCCTTGCTTACTTACCCCTTCGTTCGGCACGAGGGAACACGGTCGCTTAGACAACACGTGGTGTGCCCGTCGTGTCGGTCGGTCGAATAATCCCACGGTCGGGTTAACTATGGGTTCTGGGATGGGAAATGATATCCTTGTATTACCTTGCCTTTGGGATGAAAAAACACGTGGTCGCGTGTCGCCGTTACTTGTCGCTAATGCGCCCCACATGGCCGTTTTTCATGTGCTGTGTCGTCAGAGCTCCACCGAATGCGCGACGTGACGTGACAGGTTTGCGAGTCCAATCAAGAGCGCATTTATGCCAAGGCAGGGTTTTAAAAATGAGGTTATAAAGCAAATAATTTGATTTTCTGCTAAAAGGTTTTGTAGTGTAGCGGTTATCACTCCGGATTCTGATCACAGTATTAGAAGTTTTCCGGCAACCCCGGTTCGATTCCGGGCAAGACCTCTCGTTTTCTTTCTTTTTGCTTTCTTGGAGCGAATGTTTAGGGTGAATAGAAGGCTATTGGATTTTTTTTAGGGTTAGGTTGTTGTTAGCTTGGGGAAGTCTCTACCGTGCGTTCGCTACAGCTGAATAAGACAGTGGATATCAAAGGATTATTCTGGCAATAGGTCGTTCCCGCGCTCTAGTAGACGTTACCAAGAAGTGCTTATATCATTCTATATATCCTATTATCGATCACTTCCTCCTTCTGCCTACAGGCGAAGTCCCTGGCTCTTTTCGTAACAGTTTGAAACAGCTTACCAGAAGATCATATCAGTAACTAACTAACCCTTGATATGCACAGCCTTTGAACAGTCACATGACTCATTAAAACTTGGATATTATCTCGCCAACATAGAGTACCTGACATCAACAGTTGTATTCCCAAAAAATGTATCCAGCGCCTAAAGTAGCCTCTGTATTGAGTGTCAAGTGTTTCATGTCACCCACGCTTATCTCAATATTAGAGACACATGTCCCATCCATACCCTACGCAAAAGAAGGCTGAAGTTTCCCCGCAACCCTCTCCAACACCCTTTCCGGCAGCAGACTCTCATAAGCATGACTTATCCACTCACAGCACACGCGTCGCGTAAACGCCGGATCGATAATCTCCTCGACCCCAAACGCATTCGCCGTGCGCACAGGGTTCATCAATCTTTTATACTCCGTCTCCAACTCTCTATACCGTGTTTCCCGCGCCTGTTTCCCTTCGTTTTTCTCAATCTGCTTTAGCTCAAACGAATGCGCGACTTCAATGCCACCTTCCAGTGGCAGGGAACCCCATTGACCTGACGGCCAAGCGACGCGCATACGAGGGTCGCGGCAGTCTAACATGATACCACCTGCGACGCCAAATACACGGCGCACAATGACGTTGAAGATTGGAATTGTGGTGCTGTAGTATGTGCTAGCCAGAGTAATGCCATGCCGCATTGTTGCTGAGCGCTCTGCAACGGTGCCGATAGCGTATCCTGGTATATCTACGAATTGGATGAGTGGGATGTTGAACACATCTAGAAACTTTAGCATCCGCGTTATCTTCTGAGATCCTAGTGCGTCGAGTGCGCCGGCGTTGACTTCGCAGTTGAGGGAGACGATACCGACTGGTTTGCCTGCGAAGCGGGCTAGGCCCACGATGGCGGTTGTACCCCAGAGAGCGCCGATTTCGAAGAATGAGCCTAGGTCGACTACTTCGGTGATTATGGTGCGGGGGTTATACATACGCTTTTGAGAGCGCGGTATGATTGACCGGAGGGTTTCTGAGGTGCGGTCGATGGGATCAGTGCAGTCGATAGTTGGAGGTAGCTTTGTCCCGCAGTCGGGGAGATAGCTTAGTACTGTTCGTACCTGCTCGAAACAGCCTGCCTCATCGGGTGCTAGGTTATCGATGGTGCCATTTGTACAGTGCATGGCTGGGCCGCCGAGGTCGGTAAACGAGAGACCTTCTTCAAACGTTGCATTCTTCACCACACTAGGCCCAGCATTGAATAGTGAACCGATATCATCAGCCATGACAGAAAAGTGACATGCGACGACACGCGCTGCTCCCAAGCCAATTGCCGGCCCCAGCACAGCGCCTAGATTCGGTATGCCCATGTTTAGTTGTTGGACAACCTGGGTGAACGACGGCATTGGAGGGATATATGAGAAGCCTGTGGAGCGGATCGTCGTGACCGAGCCGCCACCCGATGAGCCATCGACAAGTTTCACTATGGGTAGTTTAAGAGCGATAGCCAGCTTCTCCATATATATCTATACAGGTTAGTCATGTCATATCAAACAGATCCTCAGCGTACAGTTTTCTCCATCAATGCGCCATCAGCATGTCCAGCGCGTATCGAAAAGTCATCAGCCGTGAAAACAATCTTCCTCCCACGAAGTTTTCCAAATCCTACCAGATATTAGCATCTTCTTATTCGCATTCGTGTTTTCATACCTTGCACGTTGTTCGATGGCACAAAATCCTCCGGTTCCTCCCTCATCGGCCCCAATCGCTTCCACTTAACAGTCCCACTTACACTACCCACCTCCTGGAAACTCCCAGAATCAAGCAACTGCTCAACCCTCTCCCGCACCCACAGCTTCCCTGACTGCTTTTGTCTAACATAACCTCTGTTACTTGTATCTGGTGTGGCAGCGATGTTACGTAGTGTCGCAATCTGTCCGAGTATATCTGAGTAATCAGCGGGTAGATCTGAGTCTGGACCCTTCTTCCTTCGTCGTCTGGGCTTATTTGGAGCGACGTGGGAGCTGACTTGGGCGAGCCGGTCTTTTGCCGTGTCCGATGACGTCGACGCGTCTTTGTATGGGGATTTGGGGCTGTTGTCGGGCATTTCGCGTGTGTGGAGTTGAAGTAGGTTTCAATGGGCTCCAGAGATGGAGCAGCGATTTGGATGTCACATTTTGATAGCTCGGACCAGAATTAGATGGTTGTGGTTGAATGTTGGGGTAAAAGCTGGGGTACCGAGGCATCTTTGATCTCCCCGCTTGCCTTTTTGGTCCTACTTCCCGCGACTACATCATGCCAACCGTCTCGACCTGAATGAACTTTCGTAGCATCTTTGTTGCAACTAAATCAATCGATAGCATCAAGTTCGTTCTCGAGAGTCCATTCTCGACCGCGCTATTGACCTTAGTTTCTGACAATAGGTGCTAATGACCTTATCGACTAACTAAACCATCACCGTCATATCAAGAGCTAATTTTGGTCAATTGAAACCTCATATCTCATGTTCTATTGTAGAAGATGTCTCGACCACCCCAAAGACCCATCAAGCGTCTCCTTATCGCAAACAGGTCAAACTCCCTCCTCTCCACACACCAACACTCCACTAACACCACTTAGAGGAGAAATAGCAACACGAATTATCTCCTCCGCTCGCGAACTCTATATTGAAACATACGCCATATATATCCCAGGCGATGACTCTTACGCCCTCCAAGCAACCAAAGCCATCAGACTGCCCTCCGCCTCAACATTCATGAACATCGACCAACTAATTACCATCATCAAACAACACCAAATCGACGCTGTCCACCCCGGCTACGGCTTTCTCTCCGAATCCGCCGTCTTCAGCAAAAGAGTATGGGAAGAAGCCGGGGCCATTGTCGTAGGACCTGGATGGGGTATCCTGAGTAGCACGGGTGATAAACTGAAAGCCAGACAACTCGCTGAAGAATGTACCTACATGCTCCCTTTCCCCTGTCCGTAAACCATCCCCGTACTCATAAAAGCACCAGGCAATATCCCCCTCACCCCCGCCCTCGCCCACCCCACCACCGACCTCCCCACCATCGCCGCCTTCGCCACACGCGTCGGTTACCCCATTATGCTCAAAGCCGTCGACGGTGGTGGCGGCCGAGGAATCCGTCTCGTACACTCACCCACGCAGCTCGCCGCCTCCCTCCCCCGCGCCATTGAAGAGAGCCCCTCGAAAAGCGTTTTCGCTGAAAAAGCAGCAGTTGGCGGCTTCCGCCATATCGAAATCCAAATCATTGGGGATGGCACTGGGAATGTGACGCACCTGTGGGAGCGCGAATGTAGTATCCAGCGTAGGTATCAGAAGGTTGTTGAGGTGGCGCCTAGTCGTGTGGTTGATCGTAGTTTAATCGGAAAAGTGATCGGCGATGCGATGAGGATGGCTGAACGGGTAGGTTTTTTCGAAACATCATGTTTTGCGTATTGATGGGTGCGCTGATAACGATGGCAGATATCTTATTTTTCCCTCGGCACGTTTGAGTTCTTGGTCAATCCGACTACGAGGGCGTATTTCTTTCTAGAAGTAAATCCCAGATTGCAGGTTGAACATACAGTTACGGAGGCGATTTCAGGTACCGATATCGTGAAAGCCCAGCTTCTCCTTGGGCAGGGGGCTACGCTGTCGACATGCGGACTCCCATCTTCAATCCTGGATCCGGAGGTTCCTCCATCGCTGCATTCGATCCAGTTGCGTATCCACGGCCCGAGGAACGTACAGAGCGGATTGGTCGCTGTCTATTGGAAAGATTACGGCATTCAGGTTTCCCAGGTGGAAATGGGGTGAGGGTTGATACGCATCTTGCGGGGCGGGGAGGCCCGGCTGTTGTGTCTGCGGATTTCGATAGTTTGCTGGCTAAGGTTGTTGTGACGGCTTCGTCGTGGGGGGATGTGGTGAGGAAGACGATGAGGGCGTTGGACGATACGCACATTACTGGTGTGAAGACTAACATCAGTATTTTGAAGGCTGTGGTTGCGCATCCAGATTTCTTGAATGGAGAGTGCGATACGCAGTGGCTAGAGAGTAGACAAGAAGAGTTGCTGGGGAAAAGTCAGGGGTTCGAGGTATCTCATTCTAATGGTCTTGAGGAAGATGGAAAGACCTCAACGCAGATGTCTGTTGGTGCGGCGACAAATACGCTGTTCAGAAAAGGCGATGCTTGGTCACTGACACTCTCTCCGCCGAGTTTGAAAGAAGCAGATCAACCGCCTCCGCACCATCTCGAGATAACGCGTATACACCGCAACGACTTCCCCACTTCGCTGGCCGCAGATGTCGTATTCACCACACCCTCCACAGCAACTACAAAGCCTCAATCAACATCCTACACCATGGCCCTCGCTTCAACAACTTCTAGTGCTTCAGCCACAATGTCACAACACAGACGCGGCAATCCATACGATCCATCGCACATCAGTATCCCCTTTCCGGGAAAACTAGTTGAGGTGCTAGTTGACGAGGGAGATGTAGTAAAAGAGGGCGACGTAATCTGCGTAGTACAGCAAATGAAGATGGAACTCGAAGTACGAAGCACAAGAAGCGGCCTCGTAACCTGGGTCACAGACGCAGAAGACGGTTCCAATATCAACGAAGGCACACTAGCAGCCATTATAGAAAACGAAAAGGGCGCTCGACTCTAGGTCATACTGCATATATATATATATATAGATTTTGCCAGAAAGAAACCATCCCCCACAGAGAAGCGTCAACGCGGATTTGGTATCTTCTATTGATCTCTACTCCATAATTTCACTCGTGTACGTTACCCAGACCATTTTGAAGGTCAACTTACTGTACGGACACCTCAAGCGCGCTTGAGATATAAGTTTGTCCATGGTCTCCTTGTCCACACCCCTGGCTTTAACGTGCATCTCTGCTTTAAGTGCCAGGTTGACTTTCTCTAGATCGCCTATAAGGTGTACAGTACATTCCACAACCAAATCAGCGGGATCGGTAGGCATGGTAACGCCCAAGCGGGATGCGACGGCGACCAAGGTTGATTGGAATATTATTGCGCATCAGCTCAGGATTCAATTGCAAATTTTGAACATTGACGGGGGAGGGAAACGTACAGCACGCGGCGAATCCAGCAGCAAAAAGTTCCTCGGGGTTAGTTTTTCCTGCTTCCCCAGTACCGGGCATGGCAAGGTCTACCTTGAGGTTCTCACCTTCTACATGCCTATGCAAGAAACAGTCAGCATGATCCGCACGAGGAGTGTCACAGTTTGACATACCCCGCCGCCCGTCCACCCGTAACTTTTGCACGTGCACTGTGTATAGTCGATACTTCCCGGTAGTTGAACCCTTGATTCTGGCGTTTGTAGCTCGTTCGCTTCTGGGGTTCGTCGCTTGCTCCATCGGAGGTTATGAAGCGTTGTGGTTGTCGACATCCTATCGCGCGAGGAAGCGCCGCGCGGCTCGATTGGCGGAGTGCTGGTGCGAGGGTTCGGCTGAACATGGTGGATGTGGTTCAGTCGCGTTTATAATGAAAATTAGGCGCGGTGAATTGGTGAATTGAGGCGGAGGGGTCAAGACGGAAGCTTTGGACTTGTTCAGATGTGGGACGAGCTGGGAGCTTTGACCTTGCATGGCGTCCCGAATGCTACGAGATTGGACTAGTGCGGGGTGTGTCGACACGCTAAGGCAGCGAAATCTGGGGTACTACGTAGCAGGTAGCTGCGTCTACACCAACCTACACCAACCCAAACTGATCTTAAGACGAACATGCAGGCCAACCTTTTTCCACCAAACTGAATAGGGTAAGGGAATAAGCATAGTACTGTATACAACCCAAGGCGACACTTCGCCCTTCTACTACATCGAAAACTTTACAATCGCATGGAATTCATGAACGGAACATTCTACTCGCGAACTTTACCAACTTATCCCCTCTCATCTCTTCCAGCGAACCGAACGAAAAGAGAAAAACAATAGACATAATTCCCTACAGTGTACTTCACATCTTCCAAACCTAGCCACTGTACAAAAAAAAGTAACCCTCAGTGCGATACCAACCACCCACGTCTTCGCATACCCACATCGGAACTCCCCTTTTCCGTTTCCTGTGTTTGGTGGGATGGTGTGGTTTGTAGAAGCACTCACTAAGTAGTCTTGCTTATCGACGACGATGAGTCCAAAGGTGGATTTGATGAGATATGCGATTATCAGCTATTCCAAGTCTCGTTTATCTTACTGATATACGCAAAAAGACAGTTTACACTATGTATCGCATTCTAATATCGAATAAAGCTTACCCCTCTACACTAGCATCACATGTTCAGCATCCCTGGTCCACACCACACCACGCCACTCTCGGCACTATACTAAGCATCCCAATTACTCCACGCAAGCCTAACCGCATCGAGTTCCGGTGAACTCCGGATTAATACCGAACCAAACCACGACCAGCAAGGATAGACCTGGTTATGCCACAAAACAGGGCTCACGCAATTTAATATCTCCATCACGACTTAACAAATCTTCGAAACTAGGCTATATGAGCGACCTTACAGATTAATTATAAGCTCGCGTGGCTACGGAAACAAGATCCCGTCGTATGTGCACTAATGACGCCTGACCGTATTGCTATAGTACAAGTCCGCACAATGAAAAAAATGATGACTCCTTAACAATGCATGATATTCTCATCCACAGTCGTTTTCCAATATAGAAGGACGGTTAGCCAAAGGAGACGCCGTCGTATGCCGATTAGTTCGTCCCGCTAATATATTCTCGATTTTGCTTAGGATCTCTGCACGCCACAATCAACAAAAGTGTCAAAGAGTTATGTGTAATCACCTGTCTCCGAGCAGGGGTTGCGTCTCACTGCTGTCACTGGCGCCACCCTTCTTCTTCTTGCCCCTCTTCTTCCTCTTCTTTTTACTCGCACCCTTGCCTCCTGTGTGCGCGGACTCAGTTTCGGAATGCTTGTTATCTTCATGGCCATCAGCTTGGCTACCACGACCCTTGTCCTCAGAGTCGCTTGAGCTGGTGGTCTCCAAAACAATCTTCTTGACACCATTGACGTCAACAACGTTTTCGGAGATGCTACCACTTCGGGCAGTATGACGTTTCTGCAGAGGACTACGGGAGCGCGATCGAATAGAATGCAGGGAGGCGATGGTGCTGGCGGAAGGTGACCGTCCTCTCGACACATCATTCTCGTTGTCACGGTACTTGATATCTGGATGAGTACCGCCGTTCGTGCTACCCTTGGGGGAAGTTGCACGGTCTTTAGAGTCCCTTGTAATAGAGCGAATAGATCGACCGGAACGACCGGATATGAAAGACATGCGGTCGCCGCTTGGAGTCATGGTACCGTATCCCACAGCTACAGTGTGAGCGCCATCGCTAGCCTCACGGCCAGCTGATGCCAACAAGCCCTGGCCGATCCCACCCTCTGGGGCATAAGAGTCTTGCGCGACTACAGCCTGTGACTGGGTTGACTCAGTCGGGGTTTGAGCGTGTTCGGGAATGGTTTTTGGAATGTCAGGCGTTGCGCTAGTTTGTCCAGGCTTAATCTTTACAGTATTGATACGTGTTTGCTTGGGCCTATTGGCAGCGTTGGAGGGACCAAGATGCTTCAGATGTTGAATAATACTGGGGTCATCGGTACGTAGAGGTGACATTCCCTTGCTACCGCTGCTTCGACGTCGTAACATGAGAGATGGCTTGGGATGGCCTTCCGGTGTGTCCGCCGCACCGTTTTCGCCATTGGTCTCGGTTTCTGAAACCGGCGCTTCGGAAGGTTTACGTGAGATGTCGCTGAGAACTTTGCCTCGGGGAACGCGAGCGCGAGGGGCGGGTGCCATACGTCGAATCGCCTTGTGTACGTCAATGAAGACATCGGACTCGTCAATGATTTCCCTGTTCTTGTTAGTGGTTGTTAGGAACATGTAACTGTGTGACTTACTCTCCAATGAGCTCCTCGATTACATCCTCCAGAGTGACAACACCAACAGCACCGCGTGCCTCGGCCGGGTACTCGGAGACGAGCACCATGTGGGATTTACCCTCCTGGAAGAAGTTGAGAATATCCAGGCAGCTCGTCTCGGGGCGCGTTTCTGGGAGTGTAGCCAAAGCAAAGTCGCGCACACGAAGAGCGTCCTCGGGGTCGTATGTAATGAGCATCTTGACAAGCAACATGCCAACAAAGTCGTTGTCGTTGTCGGGGGTGTGAATGGGAATACGAGAGTAGCCAGCAGAGAGGATGTTGTCCATCATCTTCTCGTCCAAAACAGTGTCGGATGACATGGTGAAGACGTCCTTCATGGGCGTCATGATGTTGCCCACGGCCTTGGCTTTGAGGTCTAGCACGGCCGTGATGATGGTAACTTCATCTTCGTTGAGGCGTTCATGCTCGAGTCCAAGCGACTGGTGCAGGCTGACCAGCGTCTTCAACCCACCCTTCTTGTATACGGTACCATGGTCCTCGCCCAGAAGGTAGTCGAGGAGCTTAGCTGTCGGCCAAGCCACAATACCCATGATATACATGAGTCCAAGAACTATGGGTGCCATGGCAGCGCCGATTGGTAGTCCATAGCGCACGCAGATAGACTGGGGGACGACCTCGCCAAAGATGACTGACGCGTGTTAGTGTTGACCACCAACATAGTGACAGCTAAACGTACCAATAAGCACGGTGGAGCTAACAACCGCAGGCCAACCCCCGCCGAGGGACCTGTCAAGTACGATAGGAAGGGTTTCATTGGTGATGACGTTGCTCAGAAGTAGGGTAACCAAGACCCAATGTTTACCTCGCTCGAGAAGCTTGAGCACCTTCTTCGCGTTCTTGCGTTCGTGCTTCTCACCAGATGAGGCAAGTACCTGAAGATATATCTCATCCTGGCCCATCAAGCTAGATGTAGGTTGTCAGCGCATCGAGACCGAGGGTGGGACAGTCATGTACTCACGCAATGGTCAGACCTGCAAACACACCACCGGCCAAAACAAGCGCGACGGCAACGCCTAGAAACAACCAAAGCTGCGGGTCGCTGGAGTCTTTGGGGAGGTCTTGGTCGGCATCCTTGAGCGCGTTGACGACGCCACCAAACGGCATTGGCAGCGCCGTCACCATGGGCGCAAAGGCGTGGAAGAGGCCGATGAGGGCGAGGCGAGCAGTGCGCAGCGACGAGCCATTGGCTCCGCGAGAACGAGCGGTGGTCATAACCATGGCCACAGCTACAGAAGACTTGCACTTGCGTGCGGAGAGATGAAGATGGTCTCCGAAGAGAGAGGGACGCGACAAACTGACCAGAGGGCGAGTTGTGAGTTATGACGGGCGCGACGCAAATAATGATGCGGAAGCAGCGCTTTGGAGGGACCGTGCATGGACGGGCCTAGGACTCCCGTAAAACGCAGGCCCGCAGAAAGTCAAGGAACGCCCAGCTTCACCAACTGCGATGATCCCCTCTGGGCAGAACGGTTGCGTTGCCGGCCGGCCGACTTTTCCAAATGTTGCTCTCCTGATCAGTCACTCTGTGGTTTCGTCCACCTCTTTTGCCCTTGCATATATCCAGCGATAACCGAGAGAGTTAGAACTGTTCCAGGTTGCGCAGTGCAGAAAGATGCGCGCACTAGTCTCCACCTGCCGTGGGAACCATTTGGACTTGTTCACGTCATTGCGCAGCGGACAAAGTCTGGCTTGGCGGAGGTATCATCACGTGATGGGGAACTATCGTGATCAATCATCACGTGATGACGTCCCCCGACCGCTCGCTAAACTCCGCAGTGTTGAAAGCTGGAGAGCCGTTGGTAGCCGCAGCAAACAACCGCACAACCGTCGGCTCATGTTTGCATCCAACATGTCTTCTTTCCGTGTATCTCTTGGTTGCTTTTGGATAAATTTGCTACTATTATTCCAATAGACATGGCCTCGAAGACATCTTCAATCCGCGCATTGTCGCATTATCTAGTCCGCCCTCAAACACCGCTTCGTCCCCGCTGTAAACAACATGCCCAACTCAGACAATACTCTGCTGCAGCGCCCGGTGCACGCCTAAACGGCACAGTAGAATACGACACCACGCCAATTCTCCATCACACCGCAAAGTCGTCTCTCGCGAACCCCGAGTTGCCAGCGGAGATACAAAAAGGCCAAACAAAGCGCATCAACCTCTACACCGCCATCAATGAGGCACTTCGACATGCACTGCAAACCGATGAGAGAGTCTTGGTCTTTGGAGAGGATGTTCAATTTGGCGGTGTTTTCCGATGTACAATGAACCTGGCTGCAGACTTTGGCACAGAACGCGTCTTCAATACTCCGCTGAGTGAGCAAGGACTGGTTGGATTTGCTATCGGAGCCGCCGCTGAGGGCATGAAGCCCATCGCTGAGGTTCAATTCGCCGACTATGTCTTTCCAGCATTTGATCAAATACACAATGAAGCGGCCAAGTACAGATACCGGTCTGGAACTACCGGGGTCAACTGCGGTGGGCTGGTAATACGCATGCCATCGGGCAGCGTAGGACATGGTGCACTGTAGGCTACCGCAAAACCGCATTCGGGTGTCATACTAACAGATCATTCTAGTTACCACACACAATCTCCAGAGGCTCTCTTCACCCACACACCCGGCCTACGCGTCGTTATACCTCGCTCGCCCGTTCAAGCCAAAGGACTGCTCCTCTCAGCTATCCGTAGCCAAGACCCAGTCATATTCATGGAGCCCAAGATTTTATACCGCGCTGCAGTCGAGCAAGTACCAGTTGATGCCTACTACCTCCCGCTCGACAAGGCTGAAGTCCTGAAAACGGGCAAGGACCTGACGATAGTCTCATATGGAACACCCTTGTATACATGTTCAGCGGCCATAACAGCAGCAGAGAAGGATTTTGGATGCAGCATTGAATTGATAGATTTGCGCACAATATACCCATGGGATCGCGAGACAGTGCTGGAGAGTGTGAAGAAGACAGGGAGAGCAATCGTAGTACATGAGAGCATGATGAACGCGGGTGTCGGTGCCGAGGTTGCTGCCACAATTCAAGAAAAGGCTTTCTTGAGATTGGAGGCGCCCGTGAAGAGGGTCACTGGGTGGGCGACGCATACCGGGCTCGTGTTCGAGCAATTCATCATACCAGATGTTACAAGTAAGATCCCCATACCCTTTGCATTTCCCATGCATGCTAATTTCGAAAGGGGTTTACGATGCGATCAAAAAGACCATAGATTATTGAACTTCTATCTAACCCCAATGAGTTTGTTTCTGTATGCGCCAGTTCTGACGTGGCGCTGCTGAACGTGTGCTGTCTAAGCATGTTGCATATTCGCCATTGAGTGCATCAGTCGATCTACTCTAAATAAATTGGGTCCTTTGTTCCTGATTGGGATTTTCAATAATGTTGTGCCTGCCATCTTTGTCAAGGCTGAGTGCCGTTCGTTGAAGTTGTCTGCATGCATGTCGCTTCCCGAGTTCAGCTTCATTTCCGGTCAGACGGCATCCTCAGCCTCACAAGTTAACAAATCTAACACATACACCCAACACAGTGCAATCTTTTCAATTTTTACACCACATCTCTCAAAAGCTTAGGTCTTTGGGCCGCTTGCTTGCCATACTTCAAGCCGCTGTCACGTCCAGCTGATAGTGGTCTGTTCATCCGGATTATTCTCGCGCTTGCTTCCGCTGCTTCCCTTTCGGGGCTGACATCATGGCTCCTACCTCAATTACCTCCACCAGCAGTGACACACCAACAGCATTGCCAATCAACACTCAGCCTGCTCCACCATCCGGCTTCTCTGGCGATGACTTCATCAACAACCTCGGTAGCGACCTGGCGCCTCTTCTTACGCTATTCGGAGAGCAAGTGACGAAACAGTTCCTTACCATGTCGCTTGGGTGGGCCGACAACATCCTGCTCGCCGTCGGACCGCTGGGTATCATTACCATCATTGTTTCGGCCATTAGGGTCGGACGTGTTAGTATTCTCAAGGCTCTCGTAGGACGGTATGGGCCATATCTCGACAGCCACATAGTTGACGATAATATATTCTGACACTCACTTATATAGTGCAAGAGAAAGCTTGACTACAGCGGAGCTAGAAATTCTGTCGTCTACGTCTGAAAACTCGTCCGAATTGTGGGCCAAAGAAGGAACTGTCAGAGTACTGGGAAAAGCTCCTGTACTGGAGTTAATCGTCTACAGCCACAGTGAGGCGGAAATCCCCGATGAGATCCAAGTTGGCGACCTCAGAGATGCCTACGCTGATAAAGCCTTGACGTATCTATCAAAGAGCGGCCAAACACAGACCTTCGAAGATGCTGAATCGTTAGATCGACTGGTTGAACAACCACCAAACATCACCCTTAATATCAACAAGGCAATAACAACTAATGGGGAAACCTGGTCACTTGTCGCGTTTGGTGTAGCTATACAGACTGTGGCTCTGGTCGTACCAGCCATCATGACTTATCACTGGAAAGAAAAGAAGGATGGGGAGCTAGTTCAGGACTACGCGTATCCCATATTCCTGGCAGGGTCGTTAGCGCTGATCATCGGCATAGCGCTATGCTCTCACATCATCGAAGCAACTTCAGTCGAGCACACATTTAAGAAAGAAAAGCCGAACGTAAAGAGTATAATCTATCTGCAAATGGCTTGCACCATGGGTGATCAGACATTCGGGCAATATCTCCTTAGCATGGGAAATGAAAAGGAGTGCATTCGGACTTCAAGATCAGACTTTGATATGGTACGGCAGTGGGACGTTTGGTTTGCTGTGGTTACCTGTCTCTTGGGGTTTGTCTGCCAGTTTGTTGGCCTCAGAGCCCTGCACTGGTCTGCGACAGTCACACAACTCGGCGTTACCTTGATCATGACGGCCACTCGGGCTTGGATTCGAAGAGGTATCTCACGCCCACCAATAGTGACCCCGATCGATACTACCGATCTCGATTGGATAGCACTCAAATTAGGTCAAGCGTGTCTATCTATAGACTCCGACACAAATTTCTTTGAAGAGTTACACTCCTCTGGTACACATTCTTTCGCACCATATACATCCGACAATGGATACCGCACAATCGAACACTTATGGCACATGTATGAATCTATCTCCCAAACCAAAGAGATCACAATTACGCATCCATGTTTTGACGTACGCCGTAAAATACACGATATATTACCAATAGGCTCTGATTATGGTGGACTATCGTTGAGCCTGTACACCACAACAGCGGAATTATACGATGAATTCTTGAGATGGAATCCTTGGGTGCAAGTTGAGCCGCCAAGACTTACATGGTTACATCTCATGCAGGATTCATCTCATGCCGGTTCACAGTCATTCTTCATGTTGCGGCTCTTCCAATATACAAGCGAAGATTACGATGCCTACGCTACCAGAACAGCGGCAAAAAGATTGCACGCTCTTCTAACTCTCTGGACTTACGGGTTCAACCCGTATTACTCTTTGGATGCACGGAATTCCACATCTTTTTTGCGGTGCGTTGAGTTACTCCCGCTAAGGGACGTCGAAACCCTGAAAGAATCACTCAGGCTTTACATCTGCTCCCCAATGACAGATGGAATCGGCCATCAAGACACATCCATAAAAACTATTCCGATATCTGCAGGTCAAGGTTACGAAGATGGTTCACCAATCTTTGGCATGAGCCGTGAAAGAGTCTGGCAAAAAGAACCCACAAGGTCTAATGACGCGCTTCTCGTGTCGTCCTTTCCGTACTCACTACAAATCCAATGCGCCCTTGATATAATCTCTGGCTGTGTCGATGCAATTGTCAAGCAGATTCTGAAGCTATCGCTTGAAGGAAATCCACCCACGATAGCGGTAGTCGTGGCCCTGGCGAAGAATCTCTCGTGGATCGTATGGAAGCGTGGTCCCGTGGATCGAGAGGAAGAAGCAATGATGCTGGTGTATCCGACGTTCATACGAGAAGGGCTGCTGCCACTGATACCCCCAAGAGAAAGTGGACAAAGCACCGATGAAGCGGATTCAGGCTCAAGAGACAATCACAACGCCAGTGGAACTGGGTCAAGTACAGAAAGCATTAACAATACTAATATGACGGACCACAACTGCACTGGAACGATTCTGAATGCAGGATTCGACCCAAACACCGCTAAAGCAGGTCCCAGTTTAGTAGGCCACGTAAACACATCCGAGGCACAACCCAGCTTGGATGATAATCACAACACCACCGGTGCCAGTTCCAGCCCACCCAACCCCATCCTCCAACAAACAACCCACAACTCCCACGAACCCTCCCCGCACCCTACACTCATCCCTTCCACGCCCGAACAACCTCCCCAGCAACCTTCCACAACTCCTCCAAAAACGTCCCCTCAACAACCTCCTGCACCCACGCCCTCGCCTTCCCAACAACCAACTCCCAAGTCTCCACTTCCTCTTGCATCTTGTTCTCTAGATACACAACAAGAATAGCTGTTGTGAGTAACTGCTCCAGGACTTCTGCGTACGCCGCTGCGGTGGGCGCTGTAGTGAGCAGGCGGAGGCTGTTTCGTACGACGGAGGGGGAGATGCTCATTTCGAGGTAGGGTAGGGGTGCGGTGGCGGGGAAGGAGCCGTTGTGGAGTTGATGGGCGATTAAACGGTGGAGGAGAGGTGGGGATGGGCATGGAGTGGGAGAGGAGGGAGGGTTGGATTGAATGTGGAATCCGGATGAAGAGGAAGGGGGAGGGATCCATCCGGTGGTGGAGCTATAGAGGCTCCCGGGGGTGTTTTGGTCGGTACTGCGGATACCTGCGCTTGGAGTGTTTGCAAAGCCTCCGCCTCGTCCACCGCCTCGTCCACCACTACTCCTACCGCGACTGCCCCTACGAACTCTAGTGATCCCTGAAACCCTGGGATGCGGCCAGCTTTGTGCGGCAGGAGGATCTGCAGAGCCTGCAGAGCAGAATTTGGCCTCACCGAAATAGCTCGACGGTGTAGCGAGTCTCAAAGATTCCCGTTGGCTAACAAAATGCCTACTCACTGGAGAAAATGACGACGATTCGACCACATCCCAGTCTTCTCCAAGCTCTTCTAAATCTCTGCTCACCGTCGCTTCTCGTGCTTGTTTGCGCTTCTCCACAATCTCAGCCTCATTAGCTTCCACCGCAACGAACGAACAGTATTTGCCGCCGACTTGGAACTCCACTCCTAGACGAACGGCTTCTCGTCTTTGCAGCAACGCGAACTGGTCTCTGTATTTGTCCTTCACTGAGACGTTGTCATTGTCGACGGTAGCCTTTGAGATCCAACCGTGGTCCTCTTCGAGTTCTTGTGTGGCCTTGCGCGCTGCTAGTTGATGGATCATCTCATCTGCCTCTTCGCGAATCTCAATGGGGATTTCGAGCGTCAGGGGGCCTTGAGGGGATGTGCCTTTTAGAACTACGCTTTTCGGTTTGAGATGCGAGGACTCTGAAGCTAGGAGCAGGTAGACGCAGGTTCGGTGGAACGGGAATCGCTGTGGTATCTCGTGAGGTGTTTGTAGGAGGGCTGGACGCTTGAGGTTTGGTAGACCGGCGAAGATATCTGTTGGTTCTCCGACTTTGGTATGCTCTTCTTGGAAAGCAGTGTCGTAGAGCGATATGGGCTCTGCGTTTGGCTGTTCGTTGGAGGCCTTGTTTTCCTTGTCTGTATCGTCGATGTTAAGCTGTACACGGAGGCTTTCAGTGACGCTTTCTACACTGTCGTCTTCTTATTTGACTTCCAGGCGGTAGTCCTTGATGTGAGGGGTGAGCGAACCCTTGAGTATACGAATGATCTTTCTGTCAAGCTTCTCGTTCTCAGCGACCATCTCAGCAAAGCCTCCACCGGCCCTTGCTACGCCTTCGATCAAGGCGCTGGAGACTTGTCCTCCAATGCCGATAGGGAAGACACGCACATCTCTACTCTTTGTTTCCTCGATGATGTAATTGAACAACTGCTGTTGCGCCCATATATTGCCATCGGTGAGCAGAACCATCTCGGTCGAACAGTGCTTGTTGCGCATCTTGAAACAGGATTGAACAGCAGCCAATGTTTCGGTGCCTCCCATGTCAGCTTGAAATGCGTCAACGCAATTGATGGCCTCTTCCAACGTCTCCTGATTATACCCCTTACTCTCGCTCCAAAGACACGAGTGCGAGCTTCCAAATGAACAGATATTGAACATGCAGCCGACAGGGATTGACTTGAGAAAAACCTTGAGTGCGGACACAAGCGTAGGAATCTGGTGGGACATGCTGCCCGAACGATCTACAATGAATATGATCTCTGGCTTCTCAGTCTTGAGGTTGAACTTGGGCACAAGCGTCGTCATCAAGGCGCGCTGGTTGGGGAGTGTTGGGTGTGTTTTCAGGATCGCTTGAGGGATGCCAATGTCCTTTGCAACCACCCGCAATATGAAATCGTGTCGAAATTCTATCCTCTGTAGTGCAAGAACCGCTGAACCTCTGGAGATTGATACGTCCTCGTCGATAGTACTCGTTGATAAAGACCCGAGCGTCACTTCGATGGGGTGAGACTGTGAGATGATCTTCCTGATAGGTATACCCTCTGGCATACAAACGTCTACTGTAATGGAGATACCCTGTATAGCAACCATTCCGAATCTTTTCTGTAGATTTCCGGGACAATAGCCGTAGCGTGGAAAGATGGACGAGGGGATGGTAAGTCGTATACCGTCGACTTCGGCATCGTGGTTCAGCTCCTGGATGTATTTGATGGTGATGAATATGGATGAGCCGTTTGGGATGTTACTGATGGTGGTTTTGAAGACGTCTGCTGCGTCGGGATCTTGCTCGAGTAGCGCTGCAGTCTCGCCACGCGTCTTAGCCACGTCGTAGGTCTTTTTGGCTTCGCGCCTCTCTTTGACTAGACCATAAATCGTACGTTGACCGATGTGGCAGACGAAGTCGACGACACTGATACCGTCAAATAGCGGAAATGCGTATCTTGAATGTCTTGGTCAGCCTTTTGGTAGTAACAACTTTTGTGTACACAGCTTACCTGATTTCTTTGAGTGTATGGTCTGACTGATTCACAAATTTCTGGCGCATGACTGTCCGAGAAGCAGTCGAAAGTATGGTAGTATGAGACTCAAGCTTGACTTGCGGCAGGTAGGTACGCTGGCAAGCTCTTGCATCGTAAATGTAGCAGCCACAGACACCGAGGCGCGTTGGTGAGTAGGAGGAGTGGGTGTTCATGTTGATAGTGATGGTTCGGAGATTTGAAAGTAATAGAGTGGCTACCTCTGCGGCTAAGGATGTTGAAACTATTAACAAGAGGCCCTACTCGATGAAGTTGAAACAATCGGATTTTGATCTGGTTCACAAGATGCTGAAATTTGAAAAGGGATGTACGACGACAAAGATTCATTATGTACTCTTTCTAGTGCTTGCTGCCTGCTGCATCTGGGCAAACACTATGGTAGGGTGTACCTACTTCGTGAGGTATTCAGGAGTCTCATTGGAAGGCACTCTACGTATGTCAACGCACGGTAATCAAGCTCGTGAGTCACAACTATTCGGGGTCACTTACCATTGAGATATGAGTTATGCAGGATTGATGAGTCAAAGAAGTTGCCATTTCCGATGTTCGTCGGTTATTGTCAACAGCAATTGGTAGTCTACCACATTCTTGCGCAATTTCATCTGGCCCGTGCTGTGAAGCACATCAACCTATCCGTTTTCTTTGAAGAAATGCTCTGCTGCGGTTTGAACGCAGATATGACTCCACAGAGGGTAGCGATGAGTGCATCCCCATCGGGGTATTTTTGATGCGGCGGTAACGTTGAGAGATGGCTTTGAACGTACGCCAAATGGTACTGTTCTCTTATCCGCTACGACACCGTATGAAACAGACGAGATCGATTGTATAGTTGATGGTGGCATTCGATGTCGCAGGGACCTACTGTAGAACACCGACATTCATGCCGTTGCGGCTGAGGCGAAGCAGGGACGCGCCCCACCCGACGAACAGCAGTTGTTCCGCATATAGAAGCAGCTACTACCGGTAGTCCCCACCAAACCCTACCCGCACGTACATATTCTGAGAAATCCAACGTATGAGACGTGTTGCGAGAAGCAGCGTCGAAGATGTCTCGTCGCCCGAATTCTCAGACAACGGGCGTGTCATGACGTCACGTGTGCCTTCATACTAAACTGAAACCAACCAGCTGTCCACAAGCCTCAAAAAGAAAATGCGCCATCAAATTCGCTTCCTAAATATTTACTTTCGCATATCCACACCTTGATCATTTGTGTAGTTAACAACGTCTAACAATGGAGGTCCCTGGTTACAATACCCTGGTATACTACGCCACCCCGCCGCACAGCTACATTGGAACCACAATCTTCTTATCCTACATCCTCGGCGCCCTCTACTCAACATTCAAAATCACATTCTCGCTACGCAAGCAGTATACAGCCATCTTCCACGCGCCCACATCCGAGAGGGATGGCAATGTCAAAGCAGCAAAAGAGGCGCGAGCGAAACACATCAAGGCCTATGCCTTCCTGGCTTCCATCAGCTTCGCAACGCTATCTTACCACATGCTCATGTTCCTCATAAAGCACTATCTGGAATGGAGTGGAGCCAAGACACTGAGCCTAAGCAATATGTCTATTGAGAAGCTAAAGAGATGGATGTTGGCGTCGACCTTGTTCCACGATTTCGCCCAGGATCTCGTCAGAGACGCGCCGAATGCTGTCTGGACCCAGGCAGCCATCCTAGGAACGTGGTTCTGGAGTATTTTCCTTGGGCAGAAAGGTATGAGCGCGTGAGTCACGAGGGTTGAGAGGTTGTGCTAATGTGTGTATAGCGAGGACGCGTGGATATGATGCGGCAATGATGCGCGACTATGTTCTTCTGAGTCAGATCCTACCTATATCTTTTACGGTCTCGCTTTTCCTCATTCAGCTGCATCTTTCTTCTCCGGATCTCGCGCCCCCTAAGGCTGCGGCAGAGTCAAAGGGATTCCTGAACCAGCGCCGTAAGCCAATCGCTGCGCTGCAGATTCCCAACATTTTGCTCAATGCAGCTCTACTCGCTCTCCCGGCTTTGCGGTCGCATTCGATTTTTGATGTTCTTCTTTTGGTATCTCGCGCTATTCTACTGCTCCCGCAATTCTCTTTTGTGGGTCTTAGGGATGTGGATGTTAGCAAATGCATCACGGTTTCTGGGGGTTTCGCAATGGCGAATATTGCGATGATGAGGAAGGAGATGACCTTGGGTGGCGTAGTAGGCGCATTGGGCAACGGTGGTTATGCGGTCAAAGCATTAGGATGGGATGCAGTGATCGGTTCGGTGGTATTCATGGTGCTAGGGTGGGGCGGTGGTGTGTGAGTCTTTGATTGCTACAAGTGGTGTGACTACTTCACTTCCAATAGACCGCCTGAATGTAAATTTCCTAGCCAACTCAAAACTCGATCCTTCCACTCGTTTACCGCAGCGAATACCTACTCTGCTAGGTACATGAGCTCTCATATATTGAACACCCTCGCCTTCCCTTCCAGGTCTGTATCTGTCGGCCGGGCAAGCCAGTCTCCATGCATTCACTTCTCACCAGTTAGCTCTCCTCTTATAGGACTAGCTCCTTCTGCTTAAGGGCTAGCCTCCTCTAGGCAGCACCCCGCACCATATAGCTAGCACTTCGCGGTTCTCAATACAACAACGATTTCGCCCACTCAGTTCCCCGATAGTATCACCAACCCATATCAATCTAACGCCATATCAGGGTAGCCTATTGTGAGGAGATAATAGCTACTTTGGCGGTCGCTTTCAAATCTATTCAATAGGTTATTTCTTTTGATTGTTAGTGGAATATAAGATTGGGAAGTTCAAGGACTCACGAAGACCGAATGAGCGGCAATATCCTTTTCCAACTCCCCCAGACTCTGTTTAGCAACTCTCTTTCGCACCTTAAGGATAGAGGTATAGCTGTCGTCTCTAAGTATTCGTAACCACCGGATTTTTACCCCCATTTTTTTAAGACGATAGACTGTAGGTGCCAATACCTCCTCGAAACGGACAGAGAAATCGTCGGAAGTGTCATTGTAGAAAGGCTATTCCAAAACCACAATAAGCCTAATTAGGAGGGACTTGATGTGTTTAACCTGAAATAGCGGATTGAGGTACGTAACAAACTTGGTGTACCCCATTTTATCGTGTAGGTCCTTGGAAGCTGCCATGCCGACCGCAAGACATTTGCCGATTTGGTCCATAGGGATGCACGGGGTGCCAAGAATGTCGTTTTACAGATAGTGGCCAAGGTTCTGGGCGTTGCTTATGCTCACGATCGAGGTGCGATACAGAGCCTCCACTGCTTCTGTAGCAAAGCCCGCATCGACGAAGTGCTTGTTTGCGAAGTATGGTGGAGATCCACCTTTAGCGACACGCATGCGTGTTCCAAGGCCGAACTCTAGTATCCAATTACCTTCTATGATCCAGAATCTGCATCTGCAGTAGCCTTTTAAGCACAGGTAGTCGAAGATTATGTCACGGATGCCACGCGGTAGCTTTTGCATGAACTAGGAGCTGAAAGGGCGACACAAAGCCCGAATAGTAGCGTAAACGTCTCTCGCGAGTTCTCTGCTCTTTTGTCAGCGTCTCGCCTGGGCAGTTTCAGTG